AGGCAGAAGCAGGAGGATCAGGAATTCAAAGCTAACCTGGACTGTGGAGCAAAATCCTAACATAACAAAGAAAAAATAGTGATATATCTTTCACACCTACAGGAAAAGCTTAAAATGTTGAGTGTTTAAACCAAGTGATAGAGGAACTGTTTAACACCAATATGACATATATATCTGCCTCATGGACAAACATGTTTATTTTTTTTCACTTTATGATAACTAGTATAAGGTTTAAGATCAAAAATGTCTTTCAATTGTGTTCTTTTGTAAAATTGGTTTTGGGCACTTTAGCTTCTTTGTAGTTCATATGACTTTTAGAAGCAGCTTGTTAATTTCTGCAAACAAGAAAAAAAAACCTACCCTGCTTAGATTTTAGAGTTACATTGACCCTGTGCATTAATTTTTAAGAAATTGCTTTTCTGATAATACCGAGCCTTCCAGCCAATGAACAGAATGTATCCTTTCACTTCTGTCTTTCTCTTTCCAGTTTTTGATATAAAGTCTTGACTATACTTTGACACTTACGTCTTATTCTGGTCACAGCTGAATAAAAGAATTTTTAAAGCATTGAGCGTGTACCCCGCAGCCACTGCTGACCCCTGCAAGCTGGACCATTGGTAGTGCATCATCTCATCATCTCTGCTTTGTCCCTGTGCTCAGGGATGGTTGCCTAGCGCTTCCGTGCTGAATGGAGGTCTACACAGCATTCTTTCAGAACTGCCTTGTTTTGTTTCTTTGGGTTGTGTTTGTTTTGGTAGACGGGAAAGTCTGATCACTGTTCCATCTTTGAAATGCCATTGGAAGAAGCCACAGAGACTTTTAGTGGCTCACTCTGTAATGTACAGGGACATCTGAGGATCACTGTGCAGTTTGCTCAAACTTCCTGCATGGAGATAAAGACCTAAATAAATAGAACAGAGGGGATTCAAGAGACAGCTCCGGGTACCTTTATTACTCTCGTCCGTTTACATTGCACCATAAATAAAGAAATCTACCTCGAGAAAATGCTAACATTCTGGGGAAGGACACAGTCGAAGAACAGGTCATCAATAAAGGATGAGGGAAAAACTGCTATTTTAGTTTGTAACAACCCATTGGAGGCAGGAGATAGCAGCCCATTGCTTTTGACATTCTGTAGACACAGCTTCCAACCTGGAGATCTAGCCCCACCCTAACTACCAACAAAGATTTAGTGATGAAATTATGTTTCAACCATATAAGATCGTCATAATCAACCGCATACGCACACTTTCCCAAGAAGGTTTTAGAGAAGTTGCTCCAAAATTGTCTAGTAACACACAAATAAGGGGAAAACATGGCTCAGAAAATAGAGACATCCCCACCTCCCTTCCCCACCCCTGCCCCCGACATACACACTCAAAAGAAAGAACGCTGGAAAATGATGACAGCATTGACAGTTGTACAAAATGATCTATTTTGAGACGGGATGAAAGGCAACTGGGGGAAGAATTCAAGAGCAAATGGTATGGGGGGGAGGGCTTTGGCCTGACTTCTGCTCCTGTTCATTCTATGCAGATTCCTGAGTCTCTAGGAAGCCCCAACTCACAAGGTGTGCTCTCTCTCTCTCTCTCTCTCTCTCTCTCTCTCTCTCTCTCTCCTCTGTCTCCCCAGTCTTTGCTACAAGGTCATATTGCCCTGCCACAGCAGACCCCACAGAAGACTGTGCTTCCCACATGGATACTCAAATCTTTATGAGAGAGAGAGGGGGAGGTTGGGGCCCCCTCCCTAATCACATGGAGCACAGCCATCATTTATGACCCATATGTTATGAAGGACAGGAAATATATGAGGAACAGAACTTGGGAGGAAAAACACAAATATCCAAAAACATTTTCCCTCTTACTAATCAAAAAGACTGATTGTACTGCCCCAAGATTTATATTTCTCAGATTTAAGGACAGCATTTTGTGAACTGAGTATGTGAAACTGCCAGTGCCTAGGAAGACATTAGGAACAGAGGAGCACAAATCACCGTAGCAGCCCCGAGTCGACGTCTTGGAAATATGCAGAACACACTTACAAGCAGTTCACAGTGCTTCCATTAGTGAGATTGCTTTGGTGAAACTGCATTATCATGATCTACTGGCTTTCAAGACCGGGAACTGGAAACAAGCCTTTCCTTCAGTCCCCAGCAGCTGGGGGAGGAAAGCTCCGTGCTTCGGTGGGGACAGCCCCAGCACTGGCCCTCGTTGCTTCTTTATGTGGAATGGTGACAGTTGAGTAATTTAGTAACATTAACTTGCAGTTCGGATGACCACAGGGGCAACTCAGGGGGCAAGGCTGCTCAGAACTGTAACTGTTAAATCTACAGCCGAAGTTGATTATAATTGAAGCATTTTGTAGCACTTCTGATTCATCATTATAGTCTTGAAAGTCTATGCTGGTAATGTTTAGCTCTGACCTTGCCCCTGTAAAGTGTTGTTTTAACTCTTGGCCGATAAACATTCCACCAGTATCTTCATCTGTCGCGCCCATCTGTTGGGTACACATTTCTCCCCTCTCTCCCCTCCTCTTTCCTCCCACTGCCACCCCCACAGTTTTTTTATGTGGTGCTTTTTTGGTTAGATTTTTAATTTAGGCCACAGGTTTCAAGATGTCAAGATAAGATATGACTAATCTAGAAGAGGAGTAGACCAGCCACCAGATGCGGGCAAGGACCCAGGGATTGCTGTGACTTTGGGCTTTCCGTTTTAGGGAGAGGGGGAAAGTTTTTGTTGCTACAGAAGATGTTTGTTTTATTGCAAGAAGGGATTTTTCTGTTTGGGATTTAAGTCCGAGAAGCAGCTTAGAAGCTGGGCTATGACAGCTGAAGCTGTAGGGCCCCTCTACCCCCATCCAACCACCCGCCGGCATGGCTTCCCCTTACCAAAGCCTATTTTCCCTGACTAGGGTGAGAGGAGCCTTAAGCTTCCCTTCTTAGATGAACTCATGCGGAACTTTGATTTGACATGAGGTCTCCGCAAAGAGGCTGCGGGGGAGGGGAGAGCAGCCTGAGCACAGCAGCCCAGGCAGAGACAGCTGCTATTTTGCAGGCCCTTTCTTTAGCTGGCACAGTTTGGTTTCGTTTGTGAGTCTAGATTTTGTTGCATGCCTTTGGCACTCTCTGATCGTCTGCAAATTCTTTACGGGTCTTTAATAGGAGACCTCCTATTTAAACTAGCAACTTTCAATTATTTACAACCTGACCAATATAGTTTTTATCTTGTAACATGGTGAGCCTTTGCCTGCATTATTTGATTTAATCACTGCAAGGCCCAGAGACAGGCATTTTATTTATTTCCATTTAGTAAACTGAGGAAGCCACTTTCATAACCTCTTCAGAAGATGGGAAGAGCTCTGGAATCAGAAGAAACTGCTGGGGTTTGTGTGTGTGTGTAGCATGAGGGGCCTGCTTGTTGGGGTATCTGCCCGGAAGTACAAGCGGGAAACTTCCGAAATGTGCAACGAATGGAAGAGACAACTGAATACCTGGGCAATCACCCAAAGTCTTGTATGCAATGTTGAGTCAACCAACTTTGGCTAAGGCCTGATGTAACTGACATGCCATTTTTCAAAAGCAAGAAACCTTTTAGGACTCTCTCACCCTGTCTTGGCAAGATAAGACAATCCTGCTTTTATCCATTTACGGATATTCTGTAATTCTGTCAGTGGTTGAGGGATGGGCTTTTTCTTTGCCCAAAGGCCAGTTCTGCCAGGAAGAAGACAAGCTCCATGTGGAGTGTCTTTGGTGCTCAACGTTCTCTCGGGAGTAGAGCGGTGATGCCAGGAGCGATTGTGTCTCACTACTATAGAACTATGAGTTAGATTAAAGGCCATTTTCCACAGCTCTTCGTGTGTGTGTGTGTGTGTGTGTGTGTGTGTGTGTGTGTGTGTGTGTGCGTGTGTGTGTGTGTTGTTTTGGGTTTTTTGTTTTGTTTTGTTTTGTTTTTCAAGATAGGGTCTCTGTAGCTTTGAAGTCTGTCCTGAAACTCACTCTATAGACCAAGTTGGCCTAGAACTCACAGAGATCCACCTGTCTCTGGCCTCCAATTACTGGAATTAAAGGCGTGTACCACCACCACCCAGCATGGAAACTACTTTTTAAATGGAAAGTTACAATAATAGTACAAGGAACTATTAGGTGCTATTTGCCCATAGTTTCCAAATGCTAACATCTTACCACACTTTATTCTCTGTCATTTATCTATTTCTCTATTATCTCTCTCTCTCTCTCTATGTATCTATCAATCCACCTACCTATAATTATCTAACAATAATCTATCCAAGCACCTATGTAAATACACATACACACATGCATATATATAGTTTAAACACACACACACACACATATATAGTATGTTTATATGTAGATACATAATCAAATCAAATAGGACAAAAGAAGCATGTTTCAGGCTGGAGAGATGACTCAGAGTTTAAGAGCACTTCCTACTCTTGCAGAGGACCCAGGTTTAGTTCCCATTGCCCAGGCTTACAACTACCTGTAATTCCAGCTCCTGGGGATCTGACACCATTTCTGGCCTCCACTGACACCTGTATGCACATGTACATACATGCATACATGCACACACTTACACATAAATGAAAACATGATAAATTAAAAACATGTGACTTTCACTTAAATTAAAGTGACTTTCACTTAAAATTTAATTAAATTAAAGCATGTGACTTTCACTTCTTTTGTGAAGAATCCCAATAGAGAAGCTGGCATACTAACAGGTAAATATTGTGTCTTCCAACCCCCTTCACCATGAAAAGATTACTAACAATTTGAATCTTTAGAACTGCAAAACACTTTTCAAAAATCATGTTTTTATTTTAATTTGCCCTGCTAAACTTTTAAACCTTTTCCTGCATGGTTGAAATAATCACCTAAAAATTAATCATTCTCTGATGCTGTATTCATTAGTTTTCTGTCATTATAACAAATAACCTCAGTCAATTGATACTGAGAAAATGTTTACTTGGGTGTATTGCTTTAGAGATTCCAGCCTGTGGTTGGTGGCTGTGTGACTTTGAGCCTGCGGTGGGAGCACATGGTGGAGCTAAGCCATTCTGTGAAGAGCCAAGAAACAAAAGTGGAGAGGACCAGGGTTTCACAACCCTCTCAAGGACATCTTCCCAGTGACCTGAACACCGCCCAGGAAGCAACATTCCTAAAGGTCTTACCACTTCACAGTAGTGACAACCCTTAGGGACTGTATCAGTCAGGGTCTCTAGAGAAACAGAACCGATAGAACGAATCTATGTATAGATATAGAAAGGAAATTTATTAGAATGGCTTACAGGTGGTGGTCCAGCTAGTCCAACAATGGCTGTCCACTAACAGAAGGTCCAAGAATCCCATAGTTGTTTAGACCATGGGACTGGATGTCTCAGCTGGTCATCAGTGTAAGCCAGAATCCCAAAGCTGTAGTATCTAATGCCAAGAAGGAACTGGCTTGCCAGAAAGAGTGAGAGCAATCAGAGAGAGAGAGAGACAGAGAGAGAGTTTCCTTCTTCCATGTCCTTCATATAGTCTGTCACCAGAAGATGTGGCCCAGATTAAAGATGGATCTTCCTAACTCAAACGATCCGGATTAAAACTAGGTCTTTCCGTTTCAAACTGTTTTAGTTAATTCCAGATGCAGTCAAGTTGACAACCAAGAAATGTCACCACAGGGACCAAGCTTTTAACACGCGGGCCTTTGGGGACATTCTAGATCCAAACTCAGGCCACATTCAGTTTCTCCCATTGTTCCAGATATTTACTTTTACAATTAAATTTTCCACATCGGGGTTTAACATAGAATCTGAAATTTGCAACTGGCCATTGTGTGCCATAAACCCTGTTTATCCCAAAGAATCATCTGTGATGAGTGGAAAGGAGTGGTATACTAGTCTGCGGATTCACAGTCCAGCACTGGCATTGGAATTCTGTCCAGAAGAAACATTTGATGGGGGTTCCAATAGGTCAGAGGTCATTCTCATTACGGGAGCCAGAGCCCTTAGCATGTGGGACCAGACAGGATATTACCTTATTTTAGAAATAAGAACTTTACATAATTAATTGGGCTAAAATAATATTATGCTGGTAGGATGACCCCTCAACCAAAGACTGGTGTCTTTTAATATTTTTTAAATTTTTATGCATATGAGTGTTTTGCCTACATTTATGTCTGTGTGTCACATGTATGTGCCTGGTACCTGAGGAGTCCAGAAGAGGGCACTGGATCCCCTGGAACTGGAGTTACAGATGGTGGTGAGTTGCCATGTGGGTACTGGGAATTGAACTTGGGTCCTCTGGAAGAAAGCCAATGCTTTTAATTGCTAAGCCTTCTCTCTGGCCCCCAAAACCGGTGTCTTTAGAAGAAAGAAACTTGGGCTGGAGAGATGGCTCAGAGGTTAAGAGCACTGACTGCTGTTCCAAAGGTCCTGAGTTCAATTCCCAGCAACCACATGGTGGCTCACAACCCTCTATTATGAGATCTGGTGCCCTCTTCTGGCCTAATACATGCAGACAGAACACTGTATACCTATTAAACAAATAAGTCTTAAAAAAATAAATAGAAGAAACTTAGACATAAATATTGAAGTAGATTATATTACTGTGTCTTCAAGCAGAACACCGAATACTGCCAGCAGTCCCCGGATGTTAGGAGGCGGGGGCAGCTAGGAAGACAGAAGGAGTATGCCCCACTCACACTGATTAAGGATTTCTGGCTTCTGAAACTGGGAGAGAATAATTTATTTTGACCATATGATAATTTATTTTGACCATGGCAATTTGTTCTGGCAGCCCCCAGAAACCAATACGGCATCATAACCTCATGTGACTAAAATGAGCTAACTCATTTTAGTCAACATTTTCTAACTGCTTTATCAACTTGAATTTTAAATTATTGTTATTACTGCACTGTGGAAAATAACTGGCAAGATAAGAAGCATTCTCTGAGGGAGCACTAGCCTGATATCTAGATTTAAATGGTAAGCCAAAAAGGAGAAAAAAACTAATATTTACCAAATCTCTATTTCCCTATTATATATGTCACAAAGACACTTAAACCCACAATTGGGTAAGGGCTTTATTGATAAATTATCAAATGCATATTTAAATTATTTTATATTTATTTATAAATAATTTAAATTATAATTAAGTGATTTAAATAATTAAAATTGAAATGATTTATTATATTTAAATTGATATAATTTATTTTACATATGTGTGTGTCTGCATGTATGACTATGCATTACATGCATGTAGGAGCCCATGGAGGTTAGAAGAGGGCCGTGGATCCCCTGGAATGGAGCTGCAGGTGAGTGTGAGCTGCCTTGTGGGTGCTGGGACTGGAACCTGGGTTCTCTGCAATAGCGGCAAGGACTTTCAATGACCGAGTCATCTTCCCAGCCTTTTTACACGCATTTGTTTATTTTAGATTGTATCGTGTGCCCCCCCCATGTGTGTGCCCCGGAACACGTATGACATCTGAGGATAACACAGATAACCATGTGGGTACCGAGGATCACACGGAAGCTGTGAGACTTCGTGTTGAGAGTCTTCACCTCCTGAGCCATCTTGCCCACCCCTGAGTAAGGGCTTTGCAGAGAGTATTGTGGTACACAATGGGGGAGACCTGAGAACATCGAGAACATAAGACAAGGGGACCCTGGGGCTGGATCTGAAGCGATAATAGAAATTAATAAAGGGAAGAGCACACAGGTGTGTGTTGGGATGTGATAGGATAGAGTGGGGGCGTGGCGGGGGACAACCATGCACTGACTGTGATACAGTTATACAGGATGTGACAGGGAAGTGGGAAGGTAGTGGAACGGGGCGGAGCGGGGATGGGGACGGACCTAGCGCAGTTGTACAGATGTGATGGGGGAGGTACATGCAAAGCACTCTGGATGTTTGCTAGACAAACGGAAAAATGTGCTTAGATTTGCACTTTTGGAAAGATCACTTGGACTGGATTCAGAGTGCAGTGTGTATGAGGTGGGTTAGGGCTTGATAACAACGGAGGCTCAGAGATTAGGTCTGCATCCCCCACACTCCAAAACTCTCCAGCCGTCAGGAGGCCAAACTCCTCTTCCCCAGTACCAAGCTGTCTCCCAGACCCCACCCCTTCTCATGGATCCAACACCCTTTCTGGAGAGAGATTAGAATATCTTCCCAGTTACCCGAACACCAGTGACAGTGACAGACATTCCAGATGGACCCGAGCCAGGTCAGCTCCTGAAAGATTTCCGTCCACTTTGCGTTCTTCTAGACTTTAAAACCACTAGGTGGGTAAACAACAAGCAAGCAGAAATTTTTCCGGAAGCATACCTGGCGGTTAGCTTGGAGGCTGTTGTTTTTTGAGGTATATACCGCAGTTGTTAGGTGGAAGCGTTTGTGATCAGGTTGCCATGGGCAACAACTTCCTGTTTCAGCTATTTCTCCAGGTCTTGTTGCTCCAGGGAGTAAGGTGAAGTCATGCTTGGCTACACGCAGTACAAGCAATGCTTTAAGTAAATCACTAAGTCAACCAATAAATCAGTAGCTAATCGTTGGTCTTTTCTCTTACTCGACTTCAGTAATTTAAATGGTTATTGAGATCATTGGATTCTGTTGAGATCGTGGTTTGGGGGTAAAGTTCTGTCCTTGCCATCTCAAATGATGGGAGTACATCAGGTCAGGTCTACTGGCATCCAGTAGAGTACCCTGCTATTTATATGTTTGAATGTGGGGTGAGAGAACTTAAAATTCTGATACAGGTAAGATTCGAGAGTCTATCGTAAGCATTTGTCCAGCCAGGCAGTGTGTTTTCTGAGCAGGCTTTGCAATGCCTGCGCTGTTTCTTGTGTGCTCTAAGCTCACCCTTTGCTGATTGGTTGGCAGTCACCTCGTGGTCTTTTCTTACCACTGCAGCACCTTGTGTGCTTATCTGCGAGCACTTGGGAAAGATCTTTCTAGGAACAGGTTCCCTAGACTGATTTCCAGGTCTAAGAGAAAACCTATTTAAATGCAGACAGAAACTCATAAACCCTGCTTCCTAGATCATTCGGCTACATATGTTTACCAGTAGTTAGGCAACATCGCAGCCTCAAGTATTTCTGTCTGGTTTTAAAAATGCTTATATCAGGGCAGGATAGCACACACCTTTAGTCTCAGCACTTGGGAGGCAGAGGTAGGTGGAACTCTGTGAGATCCAAAACAGCCTGGTCTGTATAGAGTGAATTCCAGGCCTGTCAGAGCTAGATAAAGAGACTCTATCTCAAAAAACAAGAACAAATATATTTAAACTTTTTAAATAAAATTTTTAATTTATTTCAGGTGATAGATGAAGTGTTTTCCCTTGGCTTATCAAGGCATGAACTATTTTTTCAGTGCAATGCATGGGTGAGCAGCTTGGGCTAAGGGTCATTACCACCTGGAAAGGGATAGACATGTTAGCCTGTCGTTGCTGGGACAAAATACTGGAGTCAAGCAACTTAAAAACGGGAAAGCATGGCCTGGAGAGATGGCTCAGTGGTTAAGAGCGCTAGGTGCTCTTCCAGAGGACCGGAGTTCAATTCCCAGCAACCACATAGTGGCTCACAACCATCTATAATGGGATCTAATGCTCTCTTCTGGTGTGCAGGCATCTCGTGCAGAGAGAACACTCATATGTTTACAAACAAAACAAAACAGGAAAGGTTTCTTTTGGTTTACAGTTTTATTGTGGAGTATCCACCAAAGACTGCTCAGACATGGGTTTAAACCAATAAAAAGTCCTTATTAGCTGATCTGGGACTACACCCAGCCTTCTGGATCCCAATGTAGTCCCACACCTTTCTCAGGTTGAGTTTTAAGCCAAAGTCTATATCATGAAAAGGAACAAAACCGAAAAACAAGGTTAGTATGTTTAGAGACTTTTCCAGAAGCACAGACTTTGCTGTATTAGGTCTTTGTTCTTGTTTTGGCAGGTGGTGCTATTTATGCATTGAGTTTTAGGGTCTGAATGGTACCTCCATCGTGGCATCAGTTGTGCTAAGGTCTAGGGGCATATTGCAGTTTGGGAAATTTCAGTCCTGAGTCAGTTTGGTCTGTTGCTTTGGGGACTTTAGTGAAGTGAGTGCCATATGGTGGAGGAGGTTAGCTGGGAACAAAGGGAAGAAGGGGACATGGACAGGGTCCTCCTATTCCCTTCCAGGACATGACATCCACTGA